AGCCATTCCAGCAGCAGCCCAAAAGAATTAACATATGTCTACAACATTTCCAGAAGGCATGTCAAAACCAGCAGTTTCTCCAACCATGTTTCATGTCAGAAGCATAAACAGACACACGCACAGTCTAAGCTCCCACACACAGCTTTAAAAGACCTCATTAAGAGAAAGAAAATGATTTTCTCCCCTTTTACTAAAAAGCTTTCTCTTCAATGGCTTTCTAAAATTCAATTATAAAACACCTTAACAGATCAACTTAAATGAAAATCTTTACTTGTGGGGAACTACTAGAGGTTCAGTACAACCATTAAAAAAAATAAAAGAAAAAGATTGTTAACCTATCATTTGAATATCACAAAGACGAATAACAAGACCACGAATGATTTTCTTCTCTCATTTGGAAGTTATTAGTAGACTTCCCTTTGTTCCATTAAGAAAGAAGAAAATATGAAGTTACAGCGAACCCATATGGGCAGCAGGAAAATCCTATTTAATTGCTTTATTGCCAGAAATGTTAAATCACTTCCTGAAGATATAGTTCAAATGAAACATATGGCAACTATTAACAAAAACCCCTAATGAATTCAAAAATATGCTCTTTATAGGGGCTTTCTCATAAGCAGCAGTCATACATGTTATTTAAACTGTATATGTGAATATGTGTTTGCTATTTTAATTCCACAAATGTTTGATGAACACCTACTCTGTATCAGACAATACAGCCACCTTGCACGGACTGTTTTGGTTCAAGTGCAAGGAATAGGTCTAACACTATGGAACCCTAAGACATGAAGTCCACATCTAGCCACGCCTCTTCTCTGAAGTGAAAGGCAAGAAGAATCTTCTGACCAATGCTTCCTTCTCAAGAGTTCACTGCCCAATAAAACCATTCCATTTCCACCTGGGTAGTCCCAATTATCTACTATCTATACCCCCTTCTTTTAATGTCAGTCTGGTGATGGTGCTCATCATTGCCGGGGAGCATCCTCTGTATGGGAACTATTCTCTGTCTTCGTGTATCTCCTTCAATTGGATTGTGAGTTCCACAAAGAAGGAAACTTTGCCAGGGTTTTCTGCACATAGGATGATGTGAAGCATGTCGTTTAGGAATCAACAGTTTAAATTAATTGAAAATGAAGTGTCAGCATTTAAAAATTTACTCATAAACCTTTTCTAGAGAGACAGTTCTCCTTCAAATTCAAAGATAAATCAGCTGAGAGATTTTCAGCTGTTATGACTGTGGTTTTTCTGTGAAAGGACCATTCTAAAATTCTGGAGACATTAAACTTTGACTTTCCTTTCTTTAATCACACAGTCATGTCATGGAAAGGAGCCTTGGTGGCTTGATTAATAATGAAGAACATGGTGAGATTCTAAAATAATAGGCCTTGGCTACATGAATACTAAAATATTTTTGCTTTATAGCACAACTCATTGCTTAACATTTAATTAAATATTTATGTGTATGTACTCAGCTGCACACTTTGTAAACAAATAGAACAAAATATGAAGAATACCTGTCACTGGTAAACCTGTGATTTGGGGCAACACATTCAATTTGTCTTAAATGCCTTGGCTATAAGAAGAGAGAGCTTACTTAGATAATTTTTAAATATCTCATATAGATATTCCTGCACACATATTTCATGATCTTGTCGTTTTATCATGGAATCTCTCCAAATTTTTCTCCTCTGTTTCAAAAAGACTCTGATTAGTATTTTGAAACTCAGCGTTAATGACCTCAGAGGCCAACATGCCAGTGGTTGTGTCCTGGCTTCCATCACTGACTGTGACCTTGCATAAGTTACTTTCCTTTCTAGGATGCCATGGGGTTGTTCTAAGGATTCAGTGAGTTTATGCAGGTAAAAGCTTAAAACTGTACCTTGTACATAATCAGAGCCTAGTAAGTGTTAGCTATTTTCTTTTTCCTGCGGCACTTTCTACATAACGTGTTTTAACTGCTTATCACCAACCTTTACAGTCTTGTCATTGGGAGGGTTTCTGTCTTGTTTATTGTTTGTCTGTTTGCTTGTCTCAGAAGATAAAATTTAATTTGAGGGGCGCCTGGGTGGCTTAGCCGGTTAAGTGTCCGACTTTCGCTCAGGTCATGATCTCGCGGTTCGTGGGTTCGGGCCCCGCGTCCGGCTCTGTGCTGACTGCCAGCTCAGAGCCTGGAGCCTATTTCAGAGTCTGTGTCTCCCTCTCTCTCTGACCCTCCCCTGCTCACGCTGTCTCTCTCTCTCTCTCCTAGAAATAAATAAAAATATTAAAAAAAAACTCTTTAAAATTTAATTTGAAAACCCTCATGTCTAGTCCAAGAGGAAATTCAGGGGCTAGGCTTAATACATAAGATATAGAAAGGATTCAATTCCATTTTTAAATCCTTCTCAAAAAAAGGTACATAAGAAGTAAACAAATATCAATAATTTTCCTGTAAAGGAGGAAGCAGCTTTCCTATAGTGTAGAATCACAATAATTCTTGAAGGGAAGGAGAAATAGATGGTCCTGCTATAAGTGAAAGGATAATGAGAAAGATAATACTTAAAGCCTATGCAATCCCTTCGAAGCCCTGGCCTCTGGGAATGACCTTGCATCCTGCCGTTTACTCACCAGGTAGTCCTCTCCTGGCTGGCCGCACCTGCGCCGGGAGGCAGAGTCCGCATTCATACCCAGAGAACAAGAAGTGAGCAACTATATGTAGACAGATATTAAGTCAAAATATACTTTCCCTGTAGATTAATTTTGCCACAATAAAAACCCCCTCTATTTTTTACCCATAGAGAAATTTTCTCCTTAGTTGAAAATTGCATCAATCTCTAAATTCTTCAAGTTCCAAAGGTTGGGATCTCAGCAGTTAATCAATATCTCACAAAGGTAGAGATATCTTGATATTTGATATTTTTGGAAATGAAGATTGATGCTATTTCCTTAGGTTTATCTGCAACCAGGGTGCACATGAACCGTCCCCTCCCTCTCTCTTTTCCTTCCTCTCTCCCTCTAACCTCCTCTGTCTCCCCCTTACACACACATACACACACACACACACACACACACACACACACACACCCCTAAACTAATTACCCATTTGAGCCTACTTTTATTACCCCAACTGGGGAATTTGTCCCTGAAGAAAGGGAGAGATGTCAGATGTAGACATCTTGTTTGGTCAGTGGTTTGGGGTAAAGGGTATCAACTCCTAGTGTGTCAGATGGATCGAAGGCTTCCAATACAAGTTAATATCTTCATGTTTATGGTATTACATACATGAATAATTGAGGTGAATGGGAACCAGAAGTTCAATTTCCTTAATTTGTTTTAGGGTATCCACAGAGAGTAGAACTAGGCATTTATACTTTAAAGTCTTTTGAAAACATCTCATTCTGAACTCTGTTTTTTAAACAGTGATAGTAATAGATGATAGTTGCTGGGAATTGAACTTATAGACCTCTCATATCAGTAAATTGACCCACTGGCCTAATGCCTGTAGAAACAAATAGTAAGAGCAGCTGCCTTTTCCTGAGGGCCTTAAATGCTTTATAGGAGCTACTACAGTTGGTCCTTACAGTGACCCTAAGAAGTAGATGTAATTGTCCCTGTCTGATAAAGGAGGAATCTGAGTGTTGAAGAGACAGGACAGAGATTTGAAATGCCCAGACACTCCCGAAACGATTTAATCTTTCTGCTTCCCAAAACAGGACAAAGAAATTAAATAGTAAAACTTCTACCTAAATTCAAAAAATGTTTTTGGTTTTAGTTATTGCTAATATCTTTTTAAGGGTAATAAGAGTTTTCAGAGAAGAAAAGAATTACATGATGATTGACAATTATACCTGGACCTAGTAACTTTACTGATAGTTTCCCAATTCTCATTTTTATTTTTATCTTATTTTCAGATTTATTGAGGTATAACTAATAAAATTATAAGATATTTCAAGTGTAAACCATGGTGATCTAATATACATATACTTTGTGAAAGGATTTCCACCATTTATTTGATTAACACATCCCTCATTCTCATGTTTACCTTTTGGGGGAGGGAGCAGTGAGAACACTTAAGTTCTACTCCCTTAGCAAATTTCAGTTATCCAAAAAAAAGAAAAATCAGTTATACAATATAGTTTTATCAACTATAGTCACCATCTTATACATTAGATCCTCAGAACTTATTCGTCTTATAATCAAAATTTTGTACCCTTTTATCAAATTCTCCATATTTCTCCTGCCCCTGGCAACTTCTCTACTCTCTGATTCTACAAGTTCCGCTTTTTTTTTTAATTCCATGTATAAATGATACCATGCAGAATTTGTGTTTCTCTATCTGGCATATTTCACTTAGCATAATGTCCTCCAGGTCCATGTTATTGCAAATGACAGGATTTCCTTCTTTCTTGTGCCTGAATAATATTCCATTGTGCATATACTGCATCTCCTTTATTCATTCATTCAATGATGGACATTTAGGTTGTTAACATATTTTGGCTATTGTGAATAATGCTGCAATGAACATGGAAGTACAGCTATTTCTTTGAGATCTTTTTTTCATTTCCTTTGGCTATATAACCAGAAGTGTGATTGCTGGGTCAGATAATAGTTCTGTTTTTTCATTTTTTGAGGAAACTCCATACTGTTTTTAATACTGCCTGTGCAATTTACACTTCCACTGACAGTGCACAAGCATTCCCTTTTCTGTACGTTTTTGCCAACACTTGTTATTTCTTGTCTTTTTCTTAATAACCATTCTAACAGTTGGGAGGTGGTATCTCATGGTTTTGATCAGCATTTCCCTGATGATTAGTGATGTTGAGCACTTTTTCATCTACCTGTTGGCCGTTTGTATGCTTTCTTGGAAAAATGCCTATTCAATGCCTATTCCTCTGCTTGCTCATTTCTCTACTGCTGGGTTCTATTTAATTTTTGCTTCATTTATGGTAGTCCATTTTATTCCTAATAATGTTTTGATGTTTCTTTCTAGTAATGACATAATTTTTGTGGCTTTTTTTCAGGCAATACCAGGTATTTCAGAGAAGGAAAAGGCTGGTAAGTGGACATTTGGTTATGTTTTCCCTCCTATTTTAGAATAAAATTCCATCTTCATATAGACATTTTATTAACTATCAGAAGTGTATATATCTCACCAATTTCTAGGCAAGTGTTATGAATGAATTTCTGAAAAATCTTATTTGTTTTGCCCAGAATGTAAGAACAAAAAGGTGGTTTTCTAACAGAGTATTACATCATGTTAGAATAAGATGTATGCTTCTTGTAGCCTTACTTGTAACCATAACCGCAACTTTTCTTCTTGAGGAAAAGAATTAGATGTTGTTTAGCGTACCAGGGAATGGCCTTTGGAAATCAGTTGTCAATAATTATTAAAATTTATTTTTTCATCTTAAGTAGCTTACATAGTAATCACAGAACGAAGTGTACTTATTATAAACTGATGCTATACCATCAAAAGTATAATTTTGAAGCAGTGTGAATAATTGTATGAGAAAATTGGAGTGTGTATCAGTGCTCTGTGCTATGATTATAACGACTTAGCAGTATCATGAGAGACGGATAAAGACTAATGAGAAACATGGAAATGTGAAAAATTAGACTTGGATTGGTAGAATCAGGAGCTTTTCAAAAAGATCTTTTAATCATCCTCAATACTGTTTTATGTATAATAATAATAGTCTTTAAAAAACAAATTGAAGATATACTACCAAACTTGAAGCACATGACTTAGAAATTAGGTGTTTGTGATTTTTAAGAACCGTATTATAATTTATACTATCATCTGAATGATGTCATGACTTAAATGACCTTCCATGAAAGCGTTAGTTTGTCTGATGATCTTTACATGGAGGATGTTTTCTTTATAGTTCAGTGCCCTCACTTTTGCCCCTAGGTAGTTTTCACACAAATGTTTTCATAGTTCGTATCCTTCCGTGAACTCAACTTTTCTCTCGTGCTTAGGCTGCGTCTGATCTCTTGAATCTAACATGTTGAAAGGTAACCCTTCAGAACAGAAGGAAAATACTGAACTGGCATCGTGTGTCAGTTCGAGAGAAAAACTGTTCAGTTTAATAAGGCAGTGGTATTACATAGATACGTAGCCTGTATTGAATGAATTCAGATTATAGTTACAGTGTTCTAATGCCTTAAATAGATATGTTAGCTATCTAGCTGGGACAAAAAATAAATGGTTAAGTAACATTTGCATCACAAAAAGAAAGAAAGCCAAAGTCATTCTTTATCTTGGGTTGTGACAGTCTCTGTAATTTCCACGAATAGCTTCGATTTAAACAAAGTCTGTAATAGAGCAAAGTTGTCATTTTATTCCAGAATATCAGCAAATTCTTTCAGACCCCAAGGAGAAAATTAGGATGTGAATTCTTGGCTGGTGGGGAGGAGGAAAAAGGAATAGCACTGCTTGAAGGAATGAAGAACCAAAGAGTTATCTTTTCTTTCTGCCATTTAAATAATTTCAGTTTGGTAGGGACAAGCCTTCAGTTTTTCAAGCTTCTCAAATAATTCTTTTTTTTTTTTTTAAGCTTCTCAAATATTCTAAAGATATTTTTATTAGAACCAAGAACTAAACAAAAAGCAAAAATTTAATGTAACCACCACTTTTTATCATGATCCAACCATGAAAAAACAAAAACCTGAAATTATCACTCTTAAATGATATATTTGGGTCATTTCTATAATGCTAGGGGACAAATTAAAAGAGCTGATAAATTCCATTACAAATGAGGTTCCACAGGGTGATCTGTGAAAAATAGGATCTACCCATTGATACATATGACCTACCCAGGCCCCCAGACGGACCGACTAATTTGAGCAGAACCGGGCTTCTGTATATTAAAACATTAGAAAAATTGGAATTTACTCCAGCATGGATTTTGATAAAGATTTCTTGAGAGCATACTGATTAGTTTAGAAGGAAATGTAATTTCTTTTTGTAATTATAAGAGAATATTTTTTAAAAAATCAGTACATTTTATGTATCGAGATAAAGACTTGTGTTTGAGTATATTATCAATAATGGTAAAAGATTTGACAATTAAAAGAGAATGACTTATTTCATGTTTTAAAGGGCCATAATGGTCTAATCAAACTGGTTCTTGTATTACTAAACTCTATCATGCCCTATTTAAAATATTTAAAGTATTTTCAGTATTATATACAAATGTATTCCTCTTTATGAATCTGTTTTTAAGCTCTGCTAGACAGAAGAAGGGCAATGAAGGCAGAGGACCTACTCAATCTTCTGGGGGTTAATTGAGCTCTTAAGTAGGATTAAGCTTCATCCCCACCCTAAGGCCTGTCATTTTTTTTTCTGTCTTGTTAAATGAATGTAGCCTATTGTTCCATATTAAGAAAGTCTATTTGTAATCTGTGTGACCTCTCATCCAAGCCAACTGGAACCAATCCCACCAGGCCTTGTGAAGCTCTAAAAAAAATCATTTTGGGTGCATTCCATTAATAATTCTTGAGATACAGTTGTGTGGTTGTTCCTGTGTGTGCTTTAAGTAGACATCTTCTATTCTGATCCATGTTGCTATGTAAATACAGCCTGGTAGAATTAATCCTGCTGCTCATCTTCCACCTTGTGATGACAAAAATCTCTTAAGGGGAAACACTTTTGAAAGAACCTCCTGTTGGTTAATTCATTCCATAAATACATATTGAGCAGCATCATATACTAGGTGTCTTATTAGGTTCTGTCGAGGAAGCAGTTTATGAATAAGGCATGTTCCTTGCCCTGAAGGAACTCAGTCTCTGGTCAAGAATATTTTATTGGGCCAGCGTCTTCCTTTTCCTCGTCTCAATTGAGAATTTCCTAAACCACCTTATTCAGAGAGCTTACCAGGAAAAGAAGCAGAGTATCAAAATGTACGTGCTCAAGATCTGAAATGGAATACAATTAGTTTATTTTTGAAAATCATAATTAATCACATAAGTATTCGTGTGTAATCGTATCCAACACATAATATTTTCATATAACTTCCCTTATGCCACCAACATCTGTATGCCCCTGAAGAGTGGGCCCAATGCCGTTGGTATATTCTCTCGCACATCTGCTTCCTATCTGTGTGGCCTTGAGCAAGTTACTTAACCTCCTCATTTTCCCATTTCTAGAGTATAAATAAAGAAGCTGCCATGTTGTTGTTGTAAGGCAACAATGCTTGGCACAAAATAGGCCTTGAAAAAATGGTAGCTGTTTTTTATGATAATTAGTTGTGCTTATAACTACCATGTGTACAAGCCAAGTAGAAGCTAGCTGTGTTACTACTGCCCATGTCTGATCCCAGAGCTCTTAAATGCTTCCTCAGGGCACCAATTAACAGTTAAGCAGCCCTCCATGTGGAAAAAAGCGATCACTTTCTCTGTAAGCCTCTGAGTGACTTAATCCAGACAGAAGTTATCACAGTACAGACAGAGGTGGTCATATTTTAACTTCTCGTTAGAAATTCCTGTCTCTACTAGAGTGAAATGCTTGTGAACAGATAATTTTCAGCTTTCATAAACAATTAGTCCATGAGAAATATATACCCTGCATCCTATTTTCCTATGACTACATTATCCACTACATCCCTGGTCCCTGGGGTAATTGGATCATGTCTTCCCAACTCTCACCCTTCCTCCCTCCCCCCTGCACACAGTCCTGACAACATTGACTTCTTTTTTTTTTTTTTTTAATATTTTTATTTATTTCTAGGAGAGAGAGAGAGAGAGAGAGAGAGACAGCATAAGCAGGGGAGGGTCAGAGAGAGAGGGAGATACAGACTCTGAAATAGGCTCCAGGCTCTGAGCTGGCAGTCAGCACAGAGCCCGACGCGGGGCTCGAACCCACGAACCGCGAGATCGTGACCTAAGCGAAAGTCGGACGGTTAACCGACTAAGCCACCCAGGCGCCCACTGACAACATTGACTTCTAATCAATGCTCGTCCCTTCTCCCTGCCATTGTATAAATGCTGCCCTCCACTTCCCATGGACTTTTGCCACATCAATCAGAACTGGTTTCCACGACTCAACTTGTCATTACATCAGACCACTCTCTTCACTGTCACCAGAGTGGTGTTTGAAAAGCACCATCTGATCATATCAGTTCCTGCTTTAACATTCTCCTTCTCTCCTTGCTCTGTACAGGATAAGGTCAAATTGACTGCATCATACCTGGCCATTTGTAATCTTGAAACAGTCTAATGTATTGTACTAGAAATGTGCACTCTGTCACTCAGATTTACTACTTCTTCCCAGCTCTGTGCCCTAGAGACTGACCAGTGTGGACAGAACCAGGGGGCTGCCCACCTTCTTGTTCTTGTCTTCCCAATTCCACTGCCTGAGGAGACTGGGAGGAGAGGAAGGCAGGGCGTGACAGTGGGGCTGTGAAGTTGGATAGTTATCCCCCATCTGTTTCCCGAGGAGTCCCTGCTGGCTTCCCTTAGGTGGTTCTTTCCACGTAAGTCCCAGGTACTGGAAACCATGCTCTCCTCTTGCCCTGTGGCTTCCCTAATCTTTATAAATAGTTCTGTTACTATATTCTCTCAGTTTATCCAATGTGGCATCTGTTTCCTGCTAGAGGTCTCACCACTGTACCTGCCAATCAATATCTTCTCTTCTTTCTCTTCCCTTGTATTGATTTGCTGGTTTGTTCATCCAAATTTAGCCATCTCATACAGCCACTGAGCCGCGTTAGCTCTGTATCCTTCTACTTTCGCCTGCATCACGCAACTACCTTTCAAAACTATAGATGAAAGGCAGAGATAGAAAAAAGAGGTAGATGGCCGATTCAGAGGGAAAAAAGATATGGGCCATTCATCCTAAATGAATGTAGTTTCATTTAATTGCATGGGAGAGAAAAATGTCTACACTTATGATTTAAAATGTGTCCTCTATTGCATAGATGCATATGAATTAGAAAATCAGCATTGCATTTTGGTCAGCCAGATGTGACTGACTCTCTGAGCATATTTGAAAAGTGGCAGTATGAAGTAATATGAAATTTCTCATTCTAAAATTAAATCACAGAATGCCTCACAAA